TTAGGGATGAACGGGTTTAAGAGTTTTAAGAGTTTAAGAGTTTTTAAGAGTTTTAGCCAAATGCTTTATAATATAGTATAGATATTGATTAACTTGGATATCCAACCCGCTATGCGAGCCGACTAATCCCAAGGCGACCACCTACTTTGCAGATAGCCCGGAGTCACCGCATTTGAACCTCCATGGCCACAAGGGGAGTTTTATTCCTCCTTGGATTTGAACCTGGGACCTCCAGGTACTTTTGACCTTTGGAGTCAAACTCAAACCAATCAGGCACCACCCTTGTGCGCTTCTTCCCAACTGTTGCCGACCTGTTTGCTTGTTTGTTTCTTTTAATTTTTGTTTTTGAAATCCGTCGGCCTTCACAGAAACAACCTCTCGTACCCCTTTGAGTAGAGGCAAGGTCTTCGTACATCCTAACCCCCTCCCCCCTCCAAAGAAAAGGACCCTACCTCTGTGTGGTATTTACCGCGATAGTTTGGTTTAGTTTATGACTGTGATCAATTCATACTTCCTTGATATCTCTGTTTTTCTTGGCCAGTTTTGAATCACTAGTCTGATGCTCCTGATTCCTTTGTTCCTATGCTTCTTATAACTTGTCCAAGTGATTAGAATTTAATCAAATGGTGGGTCATGTACTTTCTCTAGGGTCTTGCATGACATTTTTTTTTATTAACCTGGATATCAAACTCGCTATGCGAGCCGACTAATCCCAGGGCGACCACCTACTTTGCAGGTAGCCCGTAGTCACCGCATTTGAACCTCCATGGCCAGAAGGGGATTTTTATTTCTCCTTGCATTTGAACCTCCGTGGCCAGAAGGGGATTTTTTATTTCTCCTTTGGAGCCAAGCTCAAACCAATCAGGCACCATCCTTATGGTTATCTTGCATGACATTGAGGAGTGAGCCTTGGAGCAACCAGTAATTAAGGTTCACTACATGGTATCAAAGGGTCATTGGCCCAATGGAATCTGGGTTATCGGTAGATGCCTACCTCCTTGGAGGTCAAGATTTCAAGCCTCACATAAAGTGAGGAATATGTGTGAGTTTTGTCATATATAAATATTATACACTTCAAGAAAAGATTGCTCCATGGTGATAGAAAACGGTCACGCTACCCGACTTTTGCATTCCAGGCAGCATGTCATCAAACTTACGTTTGTAGAAAGCTTTTGTAGTCTGATCCTTGAATTTGGTGGTTATGTAGGCCGAGTATGTGGTTTCATCATGTTCGACAGACTCCAGACAGAAGGGGACTCACCATTGCCGTGAATTATTGTATGTAGTTTATTTCACAACCTCTTGGAGTTTTTATCGTGTGTTAATTAATCAAATCACCAAAGATTTGTTGTTGTGGCAGGGTACGATATGCAGTTTGACATCAAATATGCGTACTTCAACTTCTTGCAATCACTTTCGCCACCCCAAAAACCAACATGTCGTAAATCAACTTCACATGACAATTTTTTGACAAATGAAAATGAATCCGATGGCGATCAAAACCGCAGCCAGGAATGAACTTGAACTTGTTTGGAGATCAAGTTATATGCATTTCTTTGAGTCCTAACCTTGAGGGTCAACTCAACTGCCAAATAGAGGCTAGGCTTTAAGGTTCTTCTTCATTGGTCAAGTCACTTGTTCGAAGTCTTGGAGCCACTGGGAATTTTCTGGCTGTTATCTTCAAGGTCTGATGGATAAGTGGAGGTGCTCGTAAACTGGTCTGAACAAACTTCATGGTTACCAAAAACACATCGGTGGTACAATTAACGAAGGTCAGGATCCCTAATGTTGGTCATGTGCTAAATTATTTGAAAGACAAAAGGTAGCTAAGAGATGGAGCTTTGTGCTTCTATGGTGTGTTTGGTATATGAGACGGGTCGAACATATAACGAACCCATTGAGCTCATACATATTACTTCAATTTGAAGCATATTATTAAATTCAAGAAGTATACCTCAAATTTCAAGTAATATGTATGATCTGAATAGCCGATCTATGGGTTTTTATGCAATTTGTACACATATCGTCGCTCAATGTAAACATTATTGTTTGAAGATTTTAAACAATGGTAAAATCATCTTGACGATAACTTTGTGGTTTATTTGCAAGCAAAAATGGCTCAGTGATGTCGTTTGTTTGGACGATCTTCCAACAATAACAAGATTAGCTAATACCCATCTATTTATAAGTAAATTGTGCATAAGTGCAATTTATTAAAGCTCCGTACTTCAATTCGTCTAACTAACTGCAAATAAACATAATCAAATATTGGATAAACATCTCATTTTAAATATAAAAAATCTAAAATATATACTATATTATAAAGCATTTGACAAAAACTCTTAAAAACCACTTTTTATGCGTAAAATACTGTTTATTAATACATATTATTTAAAACTCAATATTGCAAGTAGATTGTGCGTAAGTACAACTTA